CCTATAAGCAAGACTTTGAACTTCAAAAATGTACCTAGAAATAGAAGAGCAGAACAACCCTTTCCAGAGTCCTTGTTAAAATCACCTCTCCTTCACTAGAAAAGCCATGCGCATGAGGGTACATCCCGAAAGCCAAGGGTATACCCCAAAAGGCCACCAGAGACTGCTGGGGGCATCCACAAGGCTGGCAGACTTCCCCACCCATGTCCTCATGAGGCGATGACTCCCTTGCCTTTAGCCTGTCTACTGCCTTTAAGGACCCTTGACATAATAAACCTGCACACTGAAGATGGCTTCCCTTGGGGCCCTGGAGATGTATAAATCAACCAGAATGAGGAACCAAAATCCCTGGAGGCTGGGGGACAAAATAATTTGTCACTTTTACTTAATGACAAATTCCAACTTGTACTCTGCCAGCCAACTCATCCTCCCTAGTCCGGGGCAGGTGTGAGTGACATTATTCTTATTTAGAAGATGAGGCCTTGTGGCTCCAGGGGCCAGCACCCTGGGGGTGGCAGATGGCTCATTCTGACGCAGTACCTCACAGGGATGACACATGCAAAGGTGTGGCCAAGCTTGAGATGCCCACAGGGACAGAGCAGCATCCTCATGCCAGTGCCACTCTCAGCCCCAAGCCTCAGGGTTAGGGAGCAATACCTGGAACCTAGAAGGAGACCACCCACACCAAGGATACCCCAGCCCAAGTGATCCCATGGGGTGAGAGTGGGGAGATGGCTGCCTGCCTTTTCTCCTTCCAGCCCCTGTCAGGGCTCCCTGTGGCCCAATATGGAGAAGAAGAGGGCAGGGCATGGGATGGTACAAAGCCCGAGCTCGTGTGCTGCGCCCTAAGTCCAGGCAGGGTGTGGCCCTGGATACCAGTCCAGGCCTGTAAACTGCAGTGTCTGGCTCTTCTGCTCCCATCCAGCAAGAGGGACCGGGAGGCCACCTGGCCACCAGTGCCCTGGTGCCACAGCCATATCCTCCAGCATGTGGCTCTGCGCTAGTCTGGCAGGATGCGTCCCTGGCCATGCTGCAGCCTGAATGAGCTCATCTCACTACTCCTCTCCTGCCCCAGGACCCACTTCTCCACCCTACAGAGAGGGTGCCCCTGTGGGAGGGCCCTGCCAAGCCCTGCTGGAAGCCTACTCCAGTTTGGGACAGCTGCAGTGACATGAAGCAGGGACATTAGACGGATGAGAAGGTAGGTGTAGGGGCTCCCTCTGGAGAATAATTTAATTTTATGGGAAAGGAAGAGAAGCCCCTGGATGCAGAACGCAGCCAGGCTGCAGGCGTGCCGGAACACGTGTAACTCATTACGTCCGCCAGTTTCCCATCTGTGACCACAGATGACGCCACACGCCTGGTGGAGGGGCTGAAGCCACGGAGCCAGCAGGACTGTAATATTTTTCTGACACTAACACCTCTCTCGGGCCCTTGGAAAGGGCCGCCAGGAGCCAGGCCCAGCCAGGCACCGCCCACTCAAAGGCCTCAGCCTCTACCTCCTGGCGTCAAACTGGAGAGGTCCCCAGCTGCCCTGGGAGGACAGAGGGGGCAGGAACACTGGAGGAAAGGGGATCTCGTGTGGGTGGGTCTGGAAAGAGGCTTGAGGGGGTCATGAGAGCCAGTGTGGCTGTGGTCCTTCTAGGTCACCTCTGGGATGGGGCCCTTCCAAGCAGTTTTGACCACAAGTAGCCTCTCTGATTTGGCCTGGGAGGTACCAAGTAAGGGGGCAACCCTCCCTCCTAACCTGCCTTACCAGCAAGGGGCTCCCAGAAGGATGCTGATGATTGAAACGCAAGGCAGTCTCCCAAGGGTGTGGTGGAAGGAGTGTGTGGGAGAGACATGGGGGAGGGGGGACCCATACTCTCCCCTATCCTGCCCAGCCCTGGCAGCTCTGGGAACTTCTTTCCCTCTCTGGGGATTCTGCCTAAGAGGCCTCAGCACTTCTGCCCTTCCCAAAAGTGCAGCCTTAGTCTGTGGGTGCTGCCTGTGACCCCACAACCTCATCTCTGATCCTCTGGCTGAGATCCGGTAAGGGGCAGCGCCAGTTCAGGCACTCCTGCATGCTGGCTGGGGAATGGCATTTCCCAGGAATTCCAGCCCAGGGCTCCACACCCCAGAATTCAGCCCTGCCAGGCATAAGACAGATTCCATTATGCCCACCTGGTTTCCCCACTGGGTCCAAATCCAGAGCACAGGAGTTATTCTTTAGGACTAGCTACTCAGCACCTTCAAATTTCTTCCCAGGGAAGAACTTGAAATTAAAGAGAAGGATCCCTAATGTGAGAAGCTGAAAGAATAAATAAGAACCTGAATGTACAAGGGATATTGTAAAATGGGAAGAAATTTCAAAAGGTGAGAGATAGTGGGATGGGGGAATTGAGAAAAGAAGGAAGGGAAAAGCAAAAATGAAAT